TTAATTTTAATTTTTTGATGTTAATTTTTTTATATAATAGTAATTTTTCATATTTTTATTCATTTCCAGATGAACTGCACCGAAAAAGATAGTCTAAACAAGCAACGGCAGCAGAGATGCCATCACAAAAGCCAAAGCAACAAACAACAACAGCAGAGACGCCATCACATCACAAAAGCCTCAGCTCAAACTTGATAACAGCAACAAGCAACAGCAGGACATGATATACAATCTGATATTGACCGGAAAGCACGGCCAGGGATGGAAAGAATACCCATAAAAGCTCTGATGCAGAGGAAGTTTGACACACATATTTGAGCAAAATGTCTGGAAGGGGGAAATCTAAAATTTCTGCCACCACAAAGAAAAACACAGACCAAGCCACTTTGTTTGTTGCATGATTACCAAAAAACACTACAATCTATTTAGATCAAGCCAAGTATTTCAGGAGCCTTTCATTATGTGATTGTGAACAAGGGAAGAAAATTTTACAAAGAACTTTGTACATGCATTTAAATTCAGTTGAATTCTCAAAAAAAAAAAAAAAAAAGAGGATGATTGTACATACATAATTCACTCTGAACCAAAAGGATCACATTATCTCAGGTCAATCGGTGCTTTATATCAAGGCTGACAGTATGACATGCTCTTCCTTGCAAATTGTAGCCTCATCTTAGTATCCATGAAAAGATATATGAAATAACATCGGCCATGGAACTTATTCATGAATATTATTACCTTACGTGAGCTATGTGGGTGCATAAATTGGGACAAAACTTGGGGATTCCGTCGATGGAAGGTCACATGGAAGGCAAGACAATAGTTTTACTGAGCACGAAAAGCACTAGCGTCAACTCGAGGAAGAAAATGGTGTTGAGCAACGTCCGGTCCACTGTCCATCCAAAAATTGTAATGCCCCCAGGATTCGACTGTAGGTAAATAACTGTGAATACAATAACAGAAACATAAGGATGCAACCAACAGAAAGGAGAAACCAATCTGCAAGAATGACATAATTGACAGATACGTCATGAGATATTGTCAGAAGAAAGAAAGATAATTATGCATAAGAGAACACCCACACAGAAACAATTGATATCTCAAAATGTTACAACGATGATTTGGCAAGAAAAAAAGAGCTCTGCAGTGTATTTCTTATTTGCTCAGATAAAACTATGCTGGATATGCAATATACTCAATTGCATAAGGCAGTTGAAACAATGTGACAGGCATAAGCGATGTTAATCCTTAAGTCCCCAACAGTAAATGGTTCTAAACTTAGTTCGTCAGTTCTGAAATTTTTGCAACAAATAAAAGACTGAAACGTTAAATCAAAGGCTCAAGAAGCACATCAAACTCAGTTGTGGGATAGCAAGAGGGAAAAAAAAAGGAAATCTCACTATGAAGCATATTTCAAAGAGAGTAATCATTCATGGTCAGATATGCAAATTCCTCAAAGGGACAAAAACAAACTAAATCAGGGTAATCAGATCAACCGGTTTTCTTTTCCTATCTCCCTACACAACTGAGAGGATTAAGACCTAGAAATTCTAACCAATGTGATCATCTACTGTATACAGCGAACTTGAGAAGTTAAAAGGTAAACGACAGTGTTTTTCAAGCAAAGAAATAAAGGATTTTGCAGAATTTGTGAAGCCTCAATATAGTCCTGGCAGCTTACTATGACAATAGAGGGTATTCGGAGAAGTAACATGCACGATATCAACTCGAGGTTGTGAATGAGTTCAGCTCCACATACCAAGGCCCATCCCGACTACTTCCTAGATGTCATAAGCCCTTCTGACAGAACCTACCTCACCTATAGGCCTAACAGGTCAGCTTTCTCAAAGAGAGATGATGACATCTAGAAGGTTGTTGCAAGGGGCTATGGTAAGTATCATACATGAGATCTTTGCCCTGTATAATCAGCAGCAATGGTGTCTGATAATGCTAACATTTATGAAAATATAAAACAGGAATACTTGAGTTTTTCAAAATCTGACACTGAAAGAGAACATACATTATGCTAATTTACAAACTTTGATTCACAAAAAACTGAAACATCTGCAACTAATACAATAACTTCCTGAACATAAAAGAGGAACCAAATCATACTCAAGTCTAAATTATTACGCATATACATGCTTTGGCTTCATTTCTAAAAGAAGGTAAAGGTGTACAATCATCTACCACAAACATAAAGGTGTTTACTAAGGGCTTTTGAAATAACACGTTATTGGTCACATCTAAGTTTTACAAATCAACATAAACCTCAACAAGCCTCATAATAATAGATAGAAAAGGGTGTTTACCAAGGGCTTGCCGCTTGTGATATGAGGATATGAGAGAAGCTAACTGCACATTATTTTGCATTGCCACATTTTCGAATGATTCCAAATCACTTTCTGAAAAATCCATTAATGAGGAACTTGCCGAAATAGCCTCCAAATTCCCTGAGCTATTCGTAGCACGCATTTGACAACCAGTAGAGCAGCATGTTACATAAGCATGCCATCTACTGGCTAATGATGCAATCCCTTGAGCCCTATGGGAAATTTTAGAAGCTGCATTTAAGCAAAGAACCACAACAACAACTTGAACAACTGATGACACCTGTTAGCGTGAAACATAAGAATTAAGTTCCATATCTACATATATTATAGAGAAAATATCCAGCACCTGTATATGAACCTGAAAGTAATAAATCACATTTATACTTACTGCTAAACCTCCGGCATTAGCGAAATTGATCTTTCCATTGTATCCAGTGGTCTGAAAAAGGGTGACAAATTGACTTACTGTGACAAATAAGAAGAGTAGGAGGAGGAATATGCGGAATCTGTGGCTGATTTTGGAAAGATAATAACGTAAGCGCAGATGTTCCTCCAAACATGTCAAAGCATCTACATCTCTTTCCAGAAGTTTACCATAGTCTTCAAAGTGAATAATTTGCAAATTACACACTAGATTGAACAACAAACAAGCTGATAAAAGAATTACTGTCATATAAACCCATGACAGTATTGAAGCTACCAAAACCATAACAGATGTCCATGCGGACTCACGGAAGATGTATATAAAGCGGACAATTTCACGGGCAGTCATCACAAGGAAGCAGGGTAGTATCCACCAAAGTAGCAAACGAAACAACTCCTGCCATATGATACACAATAAGATTGCTCAGTCTATATCATCTGGGGAGGCATAAATTCCGGAATTATGTAAGCCTAATAATCAACTGCCACCCAACTTGCATACTAAAATCCGGCATGAATTGTGACTCAATCAACTACATACTTCCCTGCTACAAAAAACATTAAATACAACGCACCACATGGATGACAGAAGTTGGTATCTCAGAGTAGGTTAAATCGAAACTTAAATTAACTTGAAACTATTGACATCAAATGCACCTTAATTCTCAAAAAATGGTGAGAGTACTTTAACATTTACTTCAACGTCTCCCAAATGACTTCTAACTTGTTTCTAACTTCAATTGAGACTCATTACTAAGAAGTAAGTTCTCATTTAAATGAAGAAGAAACAATAAGGAAACAACTAAATCAATCTGTTCAATCCAAAATTCAAATAAGGAAATGGAAATATGAAGAGAACTGCTAAGATAGATCTTCTTTCCTATTCATAAGAGTTCATAACACTTCTGTCCATAAATGATCATTCAATTTAAAAAGTGTTGCACCTTATAAATAATTTGATATTACCTTCAACTAAAATATAATCCTTGAATAATTTAGTGACAGGTTATAGTTTAACATGATTTAACCACAAAATGATAGAATAAGGATTCCATATCTTGGCTATAAAAAATAACAGCTAAATAACCAAGCTGCAAGAACAGCAAGGTTGATATCCAATTATTCCATATCAGTTATGATGGACTTAAAAGTCCATGAAATTAAAACTCAATCCGTCACCATATACATGACTCAATGATCATGAAAATGTACAAATATTCCGCCTTGCCAACTATTCCTTATATGATATTACTGGTACACATTTTATTTCCTGTTCTTACATTAATCCAAAAGTTCTCACACCAGAATTATTTGAGCAAACTTGACTATCTTCTACAGTAAAATCTAACACTATCATTCTGGTAGTAAAAGGATCCCGTTATGTACAGTAGGATTTCAAGTTAAGGCCTTCACCATTGGTAGTGCCAGGTTAGAACATGTGATTTAAAAATCAAATAACCTCGTTGCATCATATCAAACAGACACCGACTTTTTAGCATCATCCTCAGAGTGCACGCATATCTCATTTGTTCCAATATTAATCCAAGTAATCTATTGTTCATCAAGAAATATAGTCACTCCTATCCATCTAAACTATTGCTGACAAAGTAGCTGATAGATGCAACAAGCCAGTGATAACAAATTTTTTGTTCTTTACATCAAAATAGTGTAACTCAAACAATTCATAAGCATAAATACTTTCCCATATACTTAAAAGTAACTTTACTTTTGAAAGTAAAGCCATAAACCGAGACACATATTTCAATCTATCTCACCCTTCGTTCCCCATGTTTTAGTTGATCGATTATCAATCACGGATCATAAACATCATCCAACTAAAGGAAATGATTAATGTAAGAGCAAGAATTTTGGTAATCCACCTGACCTGGATCTTGCAAACATACTCCTTTTGGAATCTCTCAACCTGGCCATGATGCTGATCCACAAAGAGGAACCTCCGGATCCCGTACTTGAGGAGGTTCCGCGAGATGCAAGCTAGGGAGACGGCGGCCAGGGAGGCCTCTGACACGAGGACGCACAGCTCGAACTGCTGCACCTCGTACTCACCGCAGCCCGGCCGCGAGCACCGGGAGAGGCAGATGGCGGCGGAGGGGACGGCGACGCCGAGGAGGAGGAACGCGACGCAGGAGGCGGCGAGGCGGGCGCGGGAGGAGGAGTCAGGGAAGCCGAGCAGGGAGAGGAAGCCCTCGAGGCAGTGGAGGGCGGCGTCGAGGTCCTTCTCCCCGCTGCCGTTGCCCGCCACCAGCGGCGCCTCGGCGTCGCCACCATCCATGGGGTGGGATCAGGAACTACTTCAAAATCCGACACACAACGGCGGAGCAGCGGGAGAGGGAGCGCCTGGGCGGGGCCTTTATCGTCAGCTCCCAGTCCTTTATTCACCCGACTCCCGCCATGACTTGCGCTACGAGAGCCGGGGAGGTTGACACCAAACCTGCCGTTACTGCCGGGATGTGCGCCACCTGTTGTCCGTAACTGAAGTCGCGTCACAATAGTAGACACCCTATTTCGAGGCAAGCGTCGTCCGCCTGTCGGTTGGTTAGCGTGAAGCGTGAGAGACAGGTGAGGAGGGATTGTGGTTTAGACGTATATAAAAATCTATAGAAATAATAAATTACAAAATTAGTGAATTTTTATATTTATTCTTATAAATTTAACTTTAATATATATTATTACAAAGTACAAACATCAAAAATTTCCATCTAATTGCACCCACAAACACATTTTATTTTCTTATATTATTCTCATGACAAACACATAAAAAGGAAGAAGAAAGGATGAAGCTGACCGCAACTCTAAAAATGATTGCATATAATACCAAAATAAATCTTAAAGCGCAAGATTGAGGCCTTCCACTCTTTGAATGGAGATGATGTCAGATTTCACAAGAATAATAATTAAAACTTACCTGAAATAATTCACTCAAAATAATGCACAAAATTAAATAGAATCACTCTATTAGATTCAGCAAATCGATGCATATTATTTGATTATTGGGGAGAGAGAGAGATAGAGAGAAAAAAAAAGGCCAAATCCATGGTTGGAGAATTTCCATGACATGGATGAAATATTTATCCTATTTATTCTTTTACTTTTTCAAATATACCACTCATAAATTCAACATATTGATATATAATGTTAATTTTGCTTGTAACCTTACAAGCATTCGTCACACTGCACGCTTCATTAATTGTGGGCGGCGTCATTAACATAATTATATTAGGAAGTTTGATGGTGAAGATAAAAGGCTTCTTTTTATTTTCATGTTTCACCTTTATTCTTCTTCTTCTGTCCCACGTCTTATGCTTTCCTTGTCCTTGAAGCATATGTCTGCAAAACAAAGAGTGAAAGGGTAGGGTAAGGAATCATGACATAGATGAATCTATATCAAAACAAGTTCTACCAAAGATGGAATACTGTAGTTCATGTGAGCTAACAACCATGGATGCACATAAAGATGGTGCTGACAAAGTCGAGAGAATCTTGAGGTAATTCAGTGAAGAAAACTCTTAGTTCATGGTGATTTTGTGATTCAGCTTTAAGTAATAATTTTATTTTTTTCTGGGCTTTATTGAATGTTCAAAAAAATAACCCAGCTATTAATTAAAACAAGATGTTTTAAATGACAAGAAATGTTAAAGATGGCAATCAATCAAATGGAACTACTATTGATAATAAAACCAGAAAAAAAAATGGATTTGAGACTGGTAATCGTACCTGAATCAGCACTTTGTAAATACACCTTTTCGCGATCACCTGAAACTCTTAATGGGTTTAGGTGAAGAGAAGAATAGATAATTGGGCTACACAAAGAGAACAAGATATGAATCATGTTAGAGGGAGTCAAAAGATTCAGAATTTTACTTTCATGGACCTGCAAAATGAATGGAAAAGGATAATGAGTAGCATCACTGCATAAAAGTTGACATATTTATGTGTATCAATTTAAACATTATACTCAAGCAAAACAACCCCTTTATTTTTTTGAAGACATTTATACTTGTAAATGATATAACCCTGAAAAAAAGTGTGCTGTGGCTGAGATCCAAGAGAAGATCAACCTGAAACAGGTTGCATCCTGTGTTACAAAAAAAGGGGAATACAAACAGCAGTTATAGCATAGATTTAGGTGAAGAAACAGCTTGATTGATAAGCTCCCTCCTCAAAATTTTTCCTGCAGGCGACTTTGGTATTGAGCTGACAAATGCAATGCGCCTAATCCTTTTATATGGTGCAACCTACAGAAAAGCAAAACAAGAGAAAAAAAGTCAAACCCTTATTTTCAAATTATCTTTCAGGTTTATATGGTAAAAAAAATGCCAAAGACAGATGAAAATTATTTTATAATTGAGGTTGCACAGTGATTTGATAATGATTATTTGCAGACTTTTATAAAGGAAAGCCTTGAACTGGCATTTTCAGATCAAACAAAAAGCTTAGACAGATTTGCAACTCCTCTCTGAGTATAGTCTCTTTTTGTGTTGACCATACAACTTAATTAATATAGTCCCTTTTCCCAAAAAAAAAATCTCCTCTCCGAGTATAGAAGGTCATGGGCAATCATTCCACCACAATGACTAACGAGTTACTGCATATTGGCTGTAATTTCACTAATTTGACGATACATGTGAGACTTCATGAGCTTAGGATTAGGCCTGTGGATAACCATAGAGCCTAATCTTCAATGTAAAGTCAATCTTTACCAAATGAAAAATGATATATCTGCATCATGATCATCATGAAATCGCTTTTCATATAAAAAAACTACAACCTCTATTTTTTAAAATCAAGAACTAAAGAGCGCCAAAGAAAAAAGTGTTGGCTATGCAGCTTTGGCAATATTTCTCTGACCCCAAAAGAATTCAGGCCCAAGGAAATTGCATCACATCGAAATGAAGTCATTCTCGATAACGAATTTAAAGAGTCAAAACTAAAACAATAAGTACCTGTTTCCCAACAAAATCCATGACTTCTTCATCACTAAGCATGCTTCCAGGTTGTCTGACCACAAATGCCATGGGTATCTGTCCAGCTTCTTCATCTGGATACCTGCCATGGGAAAGTTAACTATTAATTTTGAGGAACAAAATTATATCATAACTACAGAAATTACTCAAGAACACGTCACAAATAGATTGCTAAAATGGCAAAGAGTTTACTCCATTCAATTGAACCTTACATTTGCATTTTTTTCTCCAAAAAAATTATTAGAAATAATAAAAAGAAAACAGATGGCTCTTAACATGACTAATAATATTCCCCTCAACAGAAAACGATAGGAAAAGATTCATACAGCCAACTCCAAATAACTAGGATCTTAATGCTTGATATCATATCTAAAACACACATGGTTATAGTGTTAGCATGTCATCAAAGAACTTTTTCTTAATAGAAATGGTAACGAATTAGGCATACACATTCAAAAACCTACATAGCATCTTACCATTGTTAAGCCAGAATTCATTTTCAAATATCATCAAGGCTTTAGAATTTTTTTTTATTCCAAATTAGAATTATATTGTCTTCTTGAATCCATCTACAGGTCACAAAGAACTAGGACTGGGGCCAATCAACAATGATATGATTAGCATGGTGATATAAACAGGTATTGACTTCAGAAAAGCCGCAATATTTTCATTGAAGCACCAGTATCCCCCTTAGCTAGCAATCACTTACAAGTTCTCAAAATAGGACAGTATTAAGCAACATAAGACAAATGTGAACTAAATATACAAAACAGAAGAAAACAGTCCTCCATTATAATTTTCACGAAATGCAAAGCTATGTAGAGACATTTTTCTCAGGTGAATTGTCATTCTACTAGACATAAATGAGACTTAAACAAGCTCAATCACTGTAGTTGTAAATGAACAGAAAAAAAAATTATAATGGAGTACGGTAATAGTAATACCATGAAGGATATTGTAATACACAAGCTCCCACTAATGTGAAACTTGGGGATGTATGCTGCCTGACCCCTACAAGTAGGGAGGATGGTTCTGTGTTTCATGGTAATAGCCAACAATGCATAAACAGAAAGGTTTGTGGACATTGTGTTATCATGTATTTGAGTAATAAATCATTATGGAATGACATATACATTTGAATGAAGTTTATAAAGAGTCAGGATGTACATACGGAATTACAGCAGCATCAGCAATTCCCGGATGAGAAACTAGAATATGCTCTAATTCAGCTGGAGGAACCTAAGCAAATTGGAGATAGTAAATTAGATTAATTATACAAGAATACAATATTACAGATAAATAAATAAATAAATACAATGTCGAAAACCTGATATGCTTTATATTTTATTAACTCCTTTAGCCTATCCACGATGAAGAGGAAACCATCATCGTCAAAGTAGCAAAGGTCACCAGTCTTTAACCAACCTTCGGAGTCCAAGGTCGCCGCAGTTGCCTCAGCATCACCAACGTAACCTTTACCAGATCATTTTTTGTTAAAAAAATGCAGCAGATTTAGCTCCTTCAATGTTTAAATATGTATTCTTTATGATAATTCAGAAAGTTTGCCTTGTTAAAGTTGAAACATGTAAATACTATATTTCTTTCATTGAGCATATGGATTATGTCATCCCATTATTGTTATAAAAAATAAATAATCAGCCAACATCAAGATTAGGTAGACAACAATCAAGCCCATCACAATCCATAGATACAAACCCATAGTCTGTTTTCGGTTATTTTGGATAGAATAGATCTTTCCAACAAATTTGTTCTATTAACTGCGAAAATAGATATTACAAAATCCACTTAGCAAAGCACCACATACATATTTTGTCCCGACAATTCTTTTTAGTGACTTTTAACTGTCCTATATAAAACAATCTAAAAGGTTCTAAAAATCTTGATCTGATATCAATTTTGACTTGTCGTCAAACCAGTGTGGCAGTATATCAGGTGGTATACCAACTTATATGGCTTGATATCAGTAAAACAAATAATTTCCAACCAGTGTAAAGCCATATGGTCATATATAAAACAAATATGAAGGTTTTAAAATCTCCGTCTGCTACCAGTTTCGTTGCCAGACTAGTATGATATCGATATATCAAGCAGTACGCCAACCTCTACGGCTCGATATAACAGTACAAAAATGATTACCAATCAGTGTAGAATCATATGGTCCAGTGTCGATCATTGGTTGAACCAGTAAACACTGGTCTAGATATAACAGCCCGACCATTATTTGAAATCTTAGATTGATCTAAGTGTCCACATGCTTCGCATGTAGCTTTGGAATAAACAAAGCATATACGACCAGGAAAAAAAGGCCAACATCTTACTCTTTAACAA